GGCCTAAAAAAACTCCTAACTTTACCGAAATCTTACCCTAACCCTAATCTAACTTAGGCCGATTGCAATCTGACGCACGACATATATATCGATAAAAATTTTATTTAAATTTTATAATAATTTCTAAAGGTTGAGCACTAGTAATGCTATACTTCCAACGTGTAAATTACTGAATAGAAATTTGACAAATTTTAGATAGAAGAAAAACGATAAAATTACGCTGTTAACCTTAACCCCCTTATAAATCCGAGTTAACTTATTACTTAGCTACGGACATCGTATGCCATTGATGGCAATCGCTAAAGTATAATATAGGTTTTGTTGTAATTATGCGTTAAGAGGATTTAAGTTACAAAAGAGACAACGACTAAATGTATAAAATAATACAAGTAGTCGTAATAATGGTTCGAGTTATTTATATTCATGGGTGGCTAACGATTGAGATATAATTATATTGATTTCATCAATACATACAAATATCGATAAAAAAACCAATACCGATAATTACTATAAAATAAACTAAATAGATAAAAAGATAAAATATGATTAAGATTTAGAGTCGCTGATTCTGACTGTTTATTAATTTGTTAATATAGTGAAATCTCAATAAATTTTGAGAATAAACTTTAACATGCAATTTGTTTGCATTTTGAAATTTATAATTTTGCAGCATACATATACACGAGTGATAAAATTTATCTGTAATGCACAATATGTTGGATTAATTCGATGCAAAAGGAATTTCCTCTGCTTGCCTACCATTGCGAATAATTTTTGCACTTCTAGATCCTTTAGAATATAATATATAAACTATTTCGAAGTAGATCTCTGTTTTTGGCTTGACAACATTCGGAAAAAAGAATTGACAGCTGTCTGGTCTACTGTCTAATGGCACAAAGTTGAATACAAACATACAGCACACTTTTTCTCGCCCCTTCGTATATCCAATAACCTGATCTGTTGCACTTTTGTTTTCACTATCAGAAACTTTGTTAACCTTGCATTCTATTCCATATTCATCGTTATTACACACCCAAAGGTCGCATTTTTTTCTCGGAGTTTTTTAAAGTTCTAGTTTCACGGAAAACTTGTACGTTGGATATGATACAGCCATGCGTAATAGAGCATAAAGCTCTCCTTGGATTGTTTGTTCGGAAAAGGAGTGATAATTGGAGGCTAAGGTATGGAAAATCACATCATAACGAATGTACTTCAAAAGACCCAAGACTTTCTCCAAGAAGTCTGAAGGTGTGGTAATACTTGAGATTCTTGCTAAGGTGTCTCTATAGAATGGATAATAGGTGCTTGACAATATATCAAGGACGAGGTTAGATGTAAACTCAAACAAACCGCCATTGCTACTCTTTACAATGCCAATTGCACGCAGATGCAAAAGGGAAATTGAATCTTCATCAGTGATTTCTGATGATTGTAGAGTTCCTTTTTGTAAGAAGCGTTCTAAAAGTTTTCTTGCACTTTTTATTAAAGGATTATTGTATTGGGTTGCATCATCACTTTCGCAGAGATATTTTTCAATATGATTAACTGAATTAATCTTTTTCCTTGTTGGATTACGAATGAATTCTGTGAAACGATGGTTCCATGTATTAAAGTCGAGGGTTTGTACATTGCTTGCATATTCAATGCACAATATTGAAGCAGACCTTCTAAACCAGCGTGACCATTAGTAAGACTAAAAATATCATCCACGACTTCTTCACTAAAATGCACATTTCTATCTGCTTGGATATCATGGTAAAATAACAAGTGCTGTTCTTTAGTAAAATCTGATGCCTCGATTGTTTTTTCTGAGTTTAATGGAGAGGGAATCCCTCTAGGATGCCGAAAGTATCCATGAGCTTGTTCATTTTGTGATATTCTAATGATTTGTTCAATCTGTGGAATTCCATCTATGAGCGTAGTAGTAATTGAAAAACTTCCAGCAAAAACAATTGATTTGATCCCTTTCACTCCTCCATCATTTACACATTTGGCGAGTGTTTTTATTTGATCAATTTCATTGTCAGCATCTTTGCAACTAACTAAGAATCTATCACATTCGTCGATTAAAATGACTACCTCTTCTTTATATTTCTTTAAGATTTCATAATTCAAATCGCTTACATTGTCACATAAATTCAAAGAAAGTTCTTTACACACTCCACGTAGGAATCCATCTTTTAACAACATTGTAGAATGGACATAAAAATGGTTTTTGTTACTGTCCCTCAGATAACGTAAAGTTGATGTTTTACCACATTGAAAATGTCCAACTAAAAGCACACACACTCTTAGGTTAATAGCCTCTACTAGCTTTTGAGTTGAGTCAAACATCTCAAATGGAACATAAAAATTTTCTGAGACGTCAATCGGACCTTCAGTCTTCACAATTTTACGTTTCTTTATGCTTTGAAATCCGAAGTTATGAATTGATCGCTTAAGTGCTATAAAAAAATTCATTCGTAACGTCATAAAAATTATTATTAAATATAATTCCACCGCTAAAATATATTTTCTTATCAATAAGGACTGATGAATGATAAAATCTTCCATTTGGAATAAAATCAGCAAAAGTAAAAATAAAATTTAAGAGAAAAGTGAAAATATAAAAATCAATAGACAACATAGTTCTGCGCTGAGCTAAATAGCTAAATAGAATAATAAATTATATTTATATACCTCTCTTCAATCGTGTTTTGCCGGCGTGCCGTAGATAATTTCTGTATGTTTAAAGTTGGATACGATAATTTATTGTTTTCGTCTTTACTCGTGATACGCCACACTCTTTATAAACCAAAATGGAAAAGATTTCGTCAAAAAAATTTATTATTATCTTATAGCGCTATATAGAGCTACGTGCGCATGCCCCAAAATTTTTTTATCGTATTGATTCCATAGTTAGATGTATGCAATTTCAGAATAAGGTTTAATAAAATTTATACAATAGTACATACGTGCTAAAAATATATCGATATGATTTCAATTAATAAATTCTCCGATCATTCCCGATTATAACTAGGTTTCAATAGCACTTTTATGAGGCTACTAAATATATTCTAAACTTTAATCTGCTTTTATTGTTTTTTGGTTTTTTTTTCTAGCGTATGCTGTACTCACTTTTGCTTTAATTTTTTTGTAGCATTTATAATTTCCATTATCGTCTTCATCGCTTGTATAACCACAGTAGTCAGCAAGTACGTACAGAAATCGAATTGAATATTTGACAGCAAATCATTATACTATTTACGATTAATGCAACTAGTTATTAAATTAATTATAGCGATAGAGTATAATATAATTCTATGACAAATTGGTAATTATGACGTAATTTCGTCTTATATAAATAAAATCTATGACTCAATGAAATAGTAAATTTTCTATACCGTTTTTCTGCAATAATAATCATGGAACCACAAAGATATAACCTTCTGAATCAAGTTCTTTGATCGTACCTTGAAAACCTACATTAGGCAAAGGAAAAATAGACGATGTTTAATAGATAGAATGCTATGAACATATTAAAAATTCCAACTTTCCGCATAACCTGAATTTTAAACATACTTTTTAAAATTCTTTAAGAGTTTATTTAATGACTTACATATTCAGTCACTTGGTTATAAAAAAATTTCATGTAATATACTATTACATCCCACAGCAGGTGGTTGAAGATGCAATCCGCAATGTAAAGTTATATCACCAGGAAAGCTTTCAAAAAGTTTCACAATTCATTAATAGTTTCTAAACAATGCACAAATAAAAAATTTGTTTTTCTAATAAATACTATAAATTAAGATTATAAGTTGATTTTAATTTTAATACTGCAATGATTTGGCAACTCTTCGAGTGAAATGAGCATTATCTCAAGAAGGAACTCGAGAAATCAACTTAATTGTTGTCATTGTACAAAAAACTAATTACGAAACTAAAGCTTGTTCTTGTCGAAGAAACAACTTACTATGTACAAGAATGTGTGGTGCGTTTTACATGTCCAGTGTAAAAGTAGCTGATTTTTTTTTTTACGAAATTTTTAACTAATATCAAATCTATGTCATCAAAAATGCATGTTTAATTTGTAATATTTCCGTTTAATAAATTTTTGCTGACTTCACCAATTCCAAAATGATAAGTTATTTTAAAATTTACGATTGAGTACGTCAATTTCAAAGTCATATAAGGCAAAGCCGGGTCAAATTTTGAATTTTTGTAAAATATTTTTTTATATGTTTTACAGCTATTTTCATAATTCCTGGAACACCTGATAAAAATTGGCCAAATGGTTTTTCAGCCGATTCGATTAAGTTTGTAATTTCGGCATAATTCATATAATAAAAACTATTTCTGTATCATAATTGCTTTACAGGTCGTTACAACAATAATGTCAACATTATTAAATTTCGTTCGAATGCTTATCCAACATGTTTATTGTGTCAGTAATTCTTGACAAGAAGTATAAAAAAGGCACTATATATTAATTAGACTTTTATATAATCAACATATTACAGTACATGTTAAAAGAAGATCTTGTATATAAAAGTTGTTTCGTAGCCCTTCAAATTGTCATAAGACTAATTTTATGTAATTCATAAAATATCAATCAGGTTTTTTTCATTAAGTTTTAAAATATCTTGTGGTTCTTATGAAAGTGATGGAAGCTTTTCAATACATTCATATCTTTGAAATGCTTAAGAACTCGTCTTATAAAAGATATGCTAACACCTGCCTTCTAAAAATTTTGTTTCAATTATTTTCCAGCGAAGATGCTTCATATTTCTGTAATATAATATTCAATAAGATTTATCAATTTTATTGAATCTATTCTGCCGAAATCACAAACTTAACCGAATCAACTGAAAATTCATTCGGCCAATTTTTATCAGGTGTTCCAGGAATTACGAAAATAGCTGTAATAACCGGAGGTAAAATGGTCTGTTTAAAAAGCTTCGTGTTACGAGAACTAATAAATTAAATTCGCGTGGCCTAAGTATGATAAAGAACATAGGGTCGTGGTTTGCGCCTTTTGACCAAATTTGCAGCACAAAAGGTACATCAATTTTGCAAACCGCTAAGTGGCTCACGTGTTTTCGTAAGGCGTTGGGTGGTTTTGAATTTTATTTGTACTTACAGCCTAAAATCATGATAAATGAAAATTGACTGAGAATTGTACGAAAGATTTAGGCGACTCTAATTTATGGATTTATTATGATTATATTGTTGCAGAGAAAATTTTTAGATAGATTAATATTTGAATACCTTTGTACAATGATAAAGTAAAAATTATCTTAATTAAGATGTTTTAGAAAAAAAAAAAAAGTATTTCGGACATATATAAGAGTTTAAAAATCTTATTTGTTATCAAAATTTCGAAATCAGAAATAAAATGAAAGTGTTTAAAGACTCCCATTTGTCGAAATAAGCAAAATTTCTTCAATTATAGGCGACCCTTCCTTTTGGCACAGGTGTGACGAATCGTTCTATGTGGTAATTAACTATTAACTAATATTTTTCAATCCGTAGTCAATTCGTAACACCTCTGTGCCAAATGAATGGATCACCTATAATTAACTAAGCTTTCCCAGCCAATATGATAATTCAAATCTATCGGAAAATGAAATAAAAATTGATGCAATCTTATCTGAAAATAAATATATCTGAATTAATTAAAATTAGGTTTCTGTGATTTAATTCTGAAATCCCTTAATGTGTCGAATATATTTTAGGAGAAAATTAAAAATATTATAGTATTTTAGAACGCTAGAACTAATCTTTAGATTAAATGATTCTAAGAATTGATTATATTAATGGGAAGGGTATGAAGCTTCATGCTGCACGTTATGAAAATTCGTACAGTATTTTATTTTTTTTATAATAAGTACCATACACCTCATATATTATATAGTAAAAGATATATAAGGGATGACGGCACTGTACTTCAACGTTTCAACGTTGTCAACGTTTCAACGTTGTTGACACTCTACTATTTGGCCATTCCGGTCACTAATTATTTTCTATGCAGGACGTTTATAATAAAAACCCACGCGTAAGCGTGGGTTTTCATTATAAACGTCCTTTTTTTTTTCCTTAATTAGTGACCGGAATCACCAAAAAAAAAAAAAAAAGAAAAGAGAAGATGGATAAAGTATGAGAAAGAGGGGGAGTAGGAGAGTGGGAGAGTGGGAGTAAGCGAGGGGTGGGGAGTGATGGGAAAGAGCGAAGGGAGAGAAAAGAGAATGTGGAAAAGAGAGTGAAAGAGAAGAGCGAATATAAGAAATACAAACTCAGACCATGTTTGCCGAAGTCACATGACTTCGGATTTCGCATTCCTGCGAAATTGGAGGAGTTTCAAACTCCGCCAAAACAGAGTTTGAAACTCTGACCAAGTGGCGAAGTCACATGGCTTACAGGAATTCGAATTTCCACAAAAGTGACGAAATTCAAACTCTGTCTAATTGGAGTTTGAAATTTTGTTAAGTGGTAAAAAATTAAAAAAAATTAGTTGGGGTTTTTTGAACCCAATTCGTGTTCGATTGACCCCAATTCGAGTTCGTTTAAACCTAATTCAGGTTCATTTGAACCCAATTCGGGTTCGTTGGAACCCAAATCGGTTCGTAGGAACCCAAATCGGGTTTGTTGGAATCCAAATCAGGGTTGTTGGAACCCAAATCGGGTTTATAGATCCAAATTGGGTTCGTTTGAACCCAAATCAAACACAGGCTAATGTAATTTAGGCCTCAGAATTAGAAAAAAATTAGAAGCTCAAACCCAGGCAATGACCAGGTCCTAAGAGCTAGTCAATCAACGTTTCAACGTTGTTGACACTCTACTATTTAGCAGTTCTCGTTCACTAATTATTTTATAAGCAGGACGGTTCATATGTTTTTGCCTGCGAAGCAGGCAAAAACATATGAACCGTCCTGC